CGACGCGAGCATATCTTGACCCTTTTTTGTTATATTACATCCAATACTAGTGTGTGGATGGGAGGCAGAGCTATTTTTGTGTTTTTCCCATTTGTTTCTGTTAGACCGGACCACCCCCCCGCGCGTTCTTTGTGTGTGTGTTTGTTGCTGCAAAAATAAAAAAAAATGTAGAGGGCTTGCATTTGCTTGATGATGTGAAGGATTTGCATGTGATGGAAAATGAAAAATAAAAGGTTTGCATGATCATGATGATGTGGACATCTTGCAGGTTCATTTAATTTTGTACGTTGCATTCCCTCATATCCAAAACTCTCTCTCTCTCTCTCTCTCTCAGCTTCCAAAGATTCATGTCAGTAAAATCAAGTGACTTGGTTTCATGGGATCAGGAAGTTAGGACATTCTAATCCAGTGTTTTTATTATTCATATGCAATCGATTTGATAGCAGATTATTGTTGAGTCAAGAAAAAAAAGTCCCATCAAGTGTACCAAAAAAATGGGTTGCGTTGTTGATATGGTTGGTGCCGTTTCACAGATCTTTTGAAGAGTAAGATCTTTCTGAAGAGTAAGAAAATAATTGGTACAGCACGTAGCTAGGGTCCAAGACTGCCTTGTCTGTTATTTGGGGAGTGAAAGCTACGTTGTCGGATCTCAGATCCAGAATGCGTTGAGAGTGACCCGTGACTGACAACATTGTACACACAACAACTATTTGCTCCACCAACAGAACCCGTGACTAATTTTTGTGTTTTTACTCCCCCCCTGGCGAGCTTATAAGCAACGGATCAAGCTTCCAATGGCAAACCAAGATTGTTCAACGAACCAATTTCGCCGGCAGAGCTCCACAAAGTAATTTACCATGGCATGGTTTATGTTGCTCTTCCCCTTCTCCCTCTTGTTTGTGCATTACTGGTTCATTGGGAAGACAGGAAAAAAGCAGTGGCAGCAGCAGCGAGAAGACTGCCTCCCGCTCCCGCCTTCGCCGCCGGCATTGCCCATCATCGGGCACCTGCACCTCATCGGCTCCCTCCCGCACGTCTCCCTCCGCAGCCTCGCCAGGAGGCATGGCCCCGACGTGATGCTCCTCCGTCTTGGTGTCGTGCCGACGTTCGTCGTGTCGTCGCCGCGTGCCGCGGAGGCGGTGCTGCGCACGCACGACCATGTGATGGCGTCGCGGCCCCGCTCCCAGGTCAATGACATCATCATGTACGGTGCATCCGACATCGCCTTCGCGCCATATGGTGAGTACTGGCGGCAGGCGAGGAAGCTCGCCACCACCCACATGTTGAGTGCTAAAAAGGTGCGGTCTTTCCGCGGCGCCGTCATGGACGAGGTAATTCTTCTAGTCTTCCCGCGTTTGACAGAAATCTCTTGTAAAATCTAGCCCTACAAATTTCCGACCCTCCAGGACAAGAAAATGTTTTTTTTTTGCATTACAAATATTAAAGTAGTCATTTCGGAATAAAATGTGGGGACGTGATCTGGTCTTATGTTAATCGTCTCAAGTCATAGTAATAGTCACCAGCTCACATGCAACAAAGATGACAACCTTGAAGCATTTGAAGCAACCACTTAATTAACACCACTAGGAGCATATAGTTTAACGCACGCAACTTTAGTCTAAGAGACTGGACCACTGGTGAACTGATTGACCCACGGGTTCACGGTTTCGCTGGTGGACCGCTAGCGTAGCTGCTTCCATGCAAATAAATACCGTCATATTGAATTTACATTCAAAAATAATTTGCAACAAATATTGACCTTAGATCATGCGAGGGCAAATAATAAAGGTTTTCAATTTGCCCTCAGCTAAGAGTTTCGTAAATGTTAGCTTCTCTAATATTTTAAGATGCATGACATATAGGTGAGCATAGTGATGGCCAAGATCAGTAATGCCGCCGCAGTAGGTGGTACTTTGGACATGAGTGAGCTGCTCAGGTCATTCGCATATGACATGGCGTGTCGCATCGTGTCGGGCGAGTCCTTCCTGAAAGAAAGACGGAGCAAGCTGTGCCAGGACCTTGCCAACGATACCTCACGGCTGCTAGGAGGGTTCAACGTGGAGGAGTACTTTCCAATATTGACTAGGGTAGGAGTGCTTAAAAGAGCAGTTTGTGCAAAGGCTGAGAGAGTGAGGCATAGATGGGCCGAATTGCTGGAAGAGTTGATTGATGATCATGAGAGCAAGGGCAAGTCAACATTTGATCATAAGGTAGGCGACTTCTTAGATATCCTATTGTCTGCTCAGGAGGAGTATGGTCTCACCAGAGATCACATTAAAGCTCTATTGACGGTAAGTAGAAATAATAGCTTCCGAATTATATATTGATCTTTATATATGTCTTGCATAGTATGCTGATTAATTCATTCATATCCACAGGATGTATTTTTTGGTTTAACAAACACGTCATCTAACACCCTCGAATTCACCTTGGCCGAGCTCATGAGGAGGCCATGCCTGATGAGGAAGCTACAAGACGAGGTGAGGAGCATCGTGCCCCTGGGACAAGAAACTGTCAGTGAAACTAACATAGACAAGATGACATACCTAAGAGCAGTTATAAAGGAGTCACTCCGGTTGTATCCTGTTGCACCTTTCCTTCCTCCACACCTTGCCATGGGCAACTGCAATGTCGTTGGGTTCATGGTTCCTGCTGGAACGCACATCCTTGTCAATGTATGGGCCATTGGTAGGGACTCCAACTCCTGGGAGGACGCGGAAGAGTACATACCCGAAAGATTTATAGAGGAAGGCAGCGCTGTGCATGTGAACTTCAAGGGGAATGATTTCCAGTTCTTGCCGTTCGGGGCAGGACGAAGGATGTGCCCTGGTATAAACCTCGGAATCACCAATGTCGAGCTTATGTTGGCTAATCTCATGTACCATTTTGATTGGGAACTGCCAACCGGGGTTGAGAGAAAGGACATTGATATGGCAGAGGTGTTTGGGCTAACCGTGCGTCGGAAGGAGAAACTGATGTTAGTTCCAAAATCACGCATGTAGCCGCAAGAATAAAATCTAAGCTAAATATTTTGTTTTCTGTTGTTGCTAATAAATAAAGGGGAATTCCTGCTGCTTGTTGTAAATTAGTTTAGAAGATTTTATCGATAGCTAAATATTTTGTGTTATGTCGTTTCAACTGTCTTTTGGTAGTCTAATTTGAGGACAAGTATACATGTTTCTTTTTTTTTCTTGGCTGACTGAACAAGCTCCGTGACAAGGAAAAGATCTCCAAAATCATATGACCCTTTATGAATCCTTTAGAAGAGGAGCGAGAGGTGGTCCATCATCTCAAGAGGAGCGAGACGTAGTCCGAGAGCGCAAATCATCCTTTAGAACAGGACCAAAAGTTGGCTAATTTGAAGAGTTCATAGGTTAATCCTTTAGATTGCTGGACTGTGGTTGTTTGGAGGCGTGATGGCGACTACAATTTCAATCCAAAGAAAAGAAATATAGAGAGATGGCTCTGGCAATAACTGAATTGAGCCGTTTTGTGTTTGGCGCGTATAAAGGTGTGAATGTATACACACCACTAGTCAACCTTGCTAGTGTTAGCTACTACTCCGTCTCATAATGTAAGACTAGTGTCAAAAAACGGCTTACATTATGAGATGGAGGAAGTAGAATTAATACGATTGTCGACCAAATGGATCAAACAATGAACCTAGTGGCAGCTATATATATATGTATGCACACGGACAGGGCCACACATGCTTGTGGCATGTGGACAGTGCTCACTGCCGAGATGTCCCGGGGCTGTCATCCCGGCGTCCTACCTCCATCGACGTGCATACCATCGGCCGCTTAGGCTTTGCGCTGGTTTCTCCGGCGACTGCGAGGTGGTCAACAAGTGAGGGGACGAGGCCGTGACTAGAGCGAGTCACGCGTCCGTCGAGTGCTTTTCAGTTGGACATGCATGTCGCTTTCTAATTATATTGGTTAGATACTGAAGGCCAAATTAATAAACAAGTTAAGCGGGCATTTTGGAGTGCAGAGAAGGGACCCCAACTCGATTGTTAACTCGAAAACTAAATTGTAAGTGAAATTGGATGGCTTCCCTGTATCACTGCATGCACATTGATTTGGTACTGGTAGACCCGCAAAAATGGCCATAAGATAAACAGGAGCAAACAAATGACAAAGGTTGCTAGCAATGATGGTGTAACACATAAACTGATGAGTAGTGGTCTGGTCATATCGGCACGCGAACCACGGGAACGACGAGAAGGTCATGTTTCCGCCGGGAGGTGACTGTGACGACCTCTGCCATATCCAGGCCCGCCGCCGCCATCCCGTGTGGCAGCTCCCAGTCAAAGTGGTATAAGATACTAGCAAGCGCAAGCTCCATATTCGCCAGCCCGAACGTCATCCCGGGGCACATCCTTCGTCCCGCCCCAAATGGTGTGTACTCAAAGTCTGCCCCCTTGAAGTCAATGGCGTTGAGATCAAACCTCTCTGGCGTGAACTCCTCCGGCTTGTCCCAATGCATCGGATCCCTGCCGATGGCCCAGGCGTTCACAAGCACTGTAGCCCCCACTGGCACGTCGAACCCGAGCACCCGGCATGGCGAGCGGCACTCCCATGGTAGCAGCAGTGGCAGCGCCGGGTGCAGCCGAAGAGTCTCCTTGATGACTAGGCGCAAGTAGTGTAGATTCCTTAAGCTCTCCTCCGTCACTTTGCCTTGCTCACTGAGCACTCGCCGGACCTCCCCCTGCACCTTCTGCATCACCCTCGGGTTCTTCAGGAGCTCGGACATGGCCCATTGTAGCATCGTCGCTGATGTCTCACTACCTGCGACAAACAAATCCTACAAGCAATGGTCGCATCCTCTTCAGTGCTCTACATATATTCCATGTAGATGTATTATTGAAGTACTCCCTTGGTTCCAAATTACTCGTCGTGGTTTTAGTTCAAATTACGACTAATTTGGAACGGAGGGAGTAGTACCATCATGTGGTTAGTCGTAACTAGCTTACCGCCATCACGGCTTTGATTGTGTGTGTGGTGAGCGGGAACTCCAAGGAGTCATCTTCTTTCTGGATTCTCAAGAGCACGTCAACCAAGTCCTCCTCCTTGTCACCCGCGGCTCCTGATGGCACTTGGTGCTCCTGGATGATGGTTTCCATGAAACCCATCATTTCATGGTGGTGCTGCTTCATCAGGCGTGGCTTTCGGTTGATGAGCATCGCTAAGCGTGACGACGGATAGAGGTCCGGCAAGCCGGGCCTCGAGAATAGCTCGATGCCTTCCCCCATTAGCCGAAGGAACGTCTCCCGGTCCTTGAACCGGCTCCCTATGATGGCGCGCACTGTGGAGTCATTGACGTATGATGACAGTAGTGCGCTAAGGTTCACCGCTGCCCCCGGTGTTGCCGTTGCCGTCGACACCTCCAGGAGGAGGCGCTGGACCTCCTGCTCGCGGATGCCTCTCGCGGACTGCACGCGTCGGGTGCTAAGCAGCTCCACCGTGCAAATCTTGCGCAGCTGCCTCCACGCACTGCCGTAGGGTGCAAAGATGAGCCCCTCTGAGCCGTCAACAAGGGTCAGCCGCTTGATCATGCTGATGGGGCGCGTCGCGAAGGCCACGTCGTGTGTCCTCATGACCTCGCCGGCCGCCTCCGCCGATGAAGCGACCACGACGGGCAGGTCACCGAGGCGGAGCAGCATCAGCGGGCCATGCCGTCGGGCAAGGTCGCGCATCCTGTGGTGCGGCAGCTTGCCCATCATGTGGTGCAAGTGGCCGATCACCGGGAGCGCCCATGGCCCCGGCGGCGGCCTGGGGCCGGCTCGAAGGCGCGCTGCAAGGATGAAGTAGGCCAACGGGATGATGACTAGTACAAGTGCAATCAAGAGATTATGGCTTGCGTCCATTGTTTTGGGTGGGAGAGTGTCCAACTCAAAATGCACCATCAGTATATAGTATACTACTCCCTCCGTTCCTAAATATAAGTTTTTTTAGAGATTCAAATGGACTACAATATACGGATGTTTGTAGACATATTTTAAAGTGTAGATTCACTCATTTTGCTTTGTATGTAGTCGCTCGTTGAAATATCTAAAAAGACTTATATTTAGAAATGGACGGAGTAGAATTAAATTAGTTTCCAATTGCCGGCCGTTGGTCACCATCAAGTAGACTTATATTGCCTTCCGTTTCTTTTTAGTCCGCATATAAGATTTGGTTAAAGTCAAACTTTGTAAAGTTTGACTAACTTTATAGAAAAAATATTAACATCTCCAATACTAAAGTTATATGTTATAAAAATTAATTTCATCATGCATCTAATATTATTGATTTCATAGTGTGGATGTTGATATCTTTTTCTACAAAGTTTAACTTTGACCAAATCTTATATGCAAACTAAAAAGAAACGGAAGGAGCACGTTTGCAGCTGTCGGCATTATTGAGCAAGCAGTAATTAATTTAGTGCCTACTTGGATCTGCTCAATGATAACAGCAATCTTTTCTCTAATTTGACCTGAGTTCTTGCCCTGGAAGTTGTTGAGATGGTTGCCTCAAGTTTACATCATTGCAATCTTTTACTTCTTATAAAAAAACCAACATGTGGAGTAGAAGCCAAAGAAGTGGCTGCTAAGATGTTAGTTGGTCAACTCCCACACCTGTCCTTTTGTCCTGTCGTTAGAGGAATCTGAAAGAAATATCTGATAAGCATGGCGCTCGACAACTTATGTTTCTTCAGTTCATACAAGCACAGCATCCCAGTCACAGGGCAATGTCTTATACTTCCTCCATCCCAAAATTTTTGTCTTAGATTTGTCTAAATATGAATGTATCAAGTCACGTTTTAGTATTAGGTACATCCGTATCTAGACAAATTTAAGACAAAAATTTTGAGACGGAGAGAGTATTTTTTTTCTTCATACAGGAATTATTATAAGAAGTAATTAAGACTAGTATTATTGAGATTTACAAAAAAAAAAATCTATGAGCCCCTCAATTTTTTTTTACTGTGATCACATTAATACTACTCTTGTTATAAATACATATGTTGTTTTCCCTCTCAATGATGAATATAATCCCGGAATGCAACTAAAGTATATATTATTATGCGTGGTATGTTCTTTTTTCAAGAATATGCACGAGCGTGCGTATCATCTATTATAGATAGAAAAAAGGCTAGAAAACCATTACAAGCTCCATGCAAAGATTACAAAGTGAGGACACGCCCACCTGCACAACGTTGGAATGAGGTATTGCTCAACTTGTTGCCCACTCAACGCCCCCAAGAAAGGATGCACAAAGATCGCATCTAAGTAGGCCGGCAGCTACCCAGGCAGACCCCTCGTTCTTGATGTTGGAGATGATCATCATGGCCGATGGAGTTGCACCATCAAACAGCACTGCATTGCGGTGTTTTCAGATCTCCCAATGAACCAGAATAATGACGGATCTCATATTGTGCCACTCTGTCCTAGCAACTTTGGAAGTACACCAATCGGTCAAGTTGTCGTCGGGCGTAGGTGTCCAGTCCGGCTTGCCCCAAGTGGACAGGGCAGCATACCAAACCTACGCCATGACACAAGTGATCGAGTAAGTGGTTCATGGTCTCTTGTTGTTGATCACACAATGGGCACAAAGGTTGGTGTGGTAGTCCATGATGTGCAAGTCTATCGGATGTCCAACAACGATTCCACATCGCTAGCCAGGTGAAGAAGCGGCAATTTAGCATGGCACGTGACTTTCAAGTGAACTCCGCAGCAGGCGCTACTTCTATATCTATATCTATCTAATATCTATATCTATATCTATACCTACTATTAAAGCAAGGTGATATTTTTGGTTTCGTCCCGCGATTATTATTTTTACCGTTTGTTTTGGTCACGTACGAGATGGCGAGGTGGTACTAAACGCTGATCACAATTTTAAGTCCGTTGCTGGGTCTGGTCGCCCCCGCCTGGGCCTTAGCCCATCTATCGCCCAAAACAGTACCGTGGCCCAACTACCATGAGAGACAATCTAAAAAAGTTGCTTTTAACTGGAGT